TTAGCTACAAGAGCTGAAGACCTCCTTGGGGAAATAGGAAAGACTCAAAGAACTAGGAAATAGTCAAGATAGGAAAACATAGAACTAGGAATATAGAACATAGAGCTAGAAATGTATAGAAGCAGCTGTAAACTTGTAGTAATAGGAAGACTCTAAATTAAAATAGAAATTAAGTAGGAAATAATGCTAATTCTAGGCTTGCCTCTAAGATTAGAAGTAAGACATAGGATTTTGTACTATAAAACAACCCTTAGTAGGACAAAAACAAATCCAAATAATTATGTCTGTAGCCTGTCTCAGATTAAGAAAAACCCTAACAAATACTGTTAGTAGTAGGATATGATACAGTACTCAGACAAAAAAAATAAAATAAAGGGCTTGTATGAAAAAGAAGCTGTTCCTGCTCCTGTGGGAAAAGAGACTGGGTTCCATAGGGCTAGAGCTTTACAGACAAACAGTATATTGGCACATGACCCATATCCATAGGCTAGAGCTACATATAAGACAGCTTGAAATGAAAAAGGAGAATGGAGCAGTGGAGGCAGAGACCAATCTGGAAAATAAACCAGACCTTTCTGAGGCCTTGATGCACAGTATGAGGGAGATGTTGAGGGAACCAGAGGAGGAGAGAAAAATGATGGGTAAAAGGAAGGAGAAGGACAGATGAAAGCACTCAAAAAAGAGGAGGAAGATAAATTGCGGAGGGAAACTGAGTGAAGCGACCACTTAGAGAAGGAACTTAGAGATGGTACTTTTGGAAAGGGAGACCCACAGAGAGAAGTTCAGGGAGTTTATGGTATATCTTAAGGAAATCCAGTCACCTGGTGGAGAAACAAAAAGAAAAAAAAATCTACTCCCTGAGGTAGCAAGAGAAGGATCCCATGAGAAATGTATTCCAAAGATTGAATAGAATAGTTGAAAGAGTTGCTAAAGCTTATAAATGGTCTGAGGAGAAATGGGTAGTCAGGTTAGTACCCTGCCTAACTGGAAAAGCACTTGCACTTAGGACTTAAATCAATTTACAGAGTAACAGAGACTGAAAGAAGTTATTTTGTATTGGTTTGTAGTAACACAATATACATACTGGCAAAGGTTTCATGAATACTTGTATAACCCTCAGTAAAGAGTAAGAGAACTATGTGCTCACCTAGTTGATCTGAGGATAAAGTGGCTTAGGCCTGATTAGCAAACCAAGTAGGAAATGCTGGAACAATTCTTCCAGGTATTGTGTGTCTGTTATGTGTTTTTTGGTACAAAAGCATCACACTGAGACAGGAGCAAATGCGATGTCCTTAGAAGATTACCTAGTAGCCCCAGTGCTAGGAGGGGTAAAGGAGACTATGGAAATGGCCCCAAGAAAGATGGACCTGTGAAAATTTTCACTATGGGAGGAGGGAGGGAGGGAGTGAATGAGTGAGTCTAGGAGAAAAGTCACCTGGCTTTTCCCCAAATTAAAGGACAAAGTGGGGTTGGTGGAGAGACCAGAGAATGATATAAGTGTGGTAAATCTGGACATCTAGCCAGAGACTATAAACACAGTCTCTCCAAGGTTTCATCTCAATGGCTTTGGAACAACCTCCAGGAAGGGAGATAATGGTTCCAGCAAGAATAAATGGAAAAAAAGTGATTGGTTTCATACATACAGGCAGTAGGTGGATCTTGCTGCACCCTTTTTTTAGTGAAGGGTGAAGAGGCACTAACAAGGGTATGTGGGCAAACCTCAAAAGTGCCTATTATAAAAGCCTCTTTGGGACTGATTTTCCCAGGTATTGGGAAATTAAAGAACCAGCAGGAAGATAAGATACAGGAAGTGGATGGGATCACTAAAAGAACTGAAGCCAAGAGGCATGCAGAGATATTGAAGAGCTGAAGGACTTCTCCTGCTTCCTTTCTATCCTAACTTAATAGGTAGCCCTGGACGTCCTTGAAAGGAAAATGTGTAAAGCAGATAAGCATAGTGTTCCCTAGAAATTAGATATTGGCCCAATACAAAAACAGGGCCCCACATTGAAGGGCTGTTAGAAAATACCTGGGAAGAAAGGAAAGAACTGAGAGAAGCAACCCATATTCAAAGAAATGGGATATTATATTGGGTTAGTGCTCATTCATTAACTAAAGAAAAATTTGAACAAATAATTGTCCCTCAAAAATACAGAGAGCAGATTCTCCAATTGGCCCATGAGAATGCCTGATCAGGACATCTAGGCAAGGATAGGACTTTATATTGCATTCTCGAGAGGTTCTGTGGACCAGGCATAGCCAGATATATCAGTTATCACTGTTGGTCATGCCTGGAGTACCAACCTTTCCAGCAAAAAGGTCTATAGAACAAGGCCTCATTATGCCCAGCGTCCCTTTAGTCCCAGTACTGTTTTACAGAGATGGCAATGCATATGGTGGGGCCAATTCCCAAAGCAAGCTAAGGACAACAATATATTTTTGTCCCAAGGGGTTATGCAACTCAGTACCCTGAGGCAGTGTCTCTTAGGACAACTACAGCCAGAAGGATTGTTGAAGAGCTAGTTAAAATCTTCAGTACAATAGGAATATCTCAGACTATTTTGACAGTTCAGGGCACAGATTTCTAGACATCACACTTAAAACATCCCTGTAAGAATCTGGGGGTCAAAAGAGTACAAGCTACTCCGTATCATCCTCAAGCTGATTGTGGTATGTACCCCATAGCATCCTCAAGCTGATTATTCATTCTCTACACAAACCCAGTTAATGGAGAGAATGAATAAAACCCTGGAAACCATGTTTAAAAAGTATTCCAGCCAAGAGCCAAGGCACTGGGAAATGTGGTTGCCCTACCTGATATTTGCATACGGGGAGGTGCCAAAAACATCAACAAGGTTGATGAAATATTGTTTAAATCTTGCAAGATAATGTTGTTTTTGTTGCTGACTGTTTATAAGCACATACATATTTATATTCCAGTATATAAAAAAGGCAGAATGTTAAAGCAGTTGCACTTACCCCACCTAGTAAGATAACGCACAAGATTTTGCAAACTGAACTTCAACAGTACCGAGAACAAGAACTACCAGAGGTGCAAGCAGATTGTAGAAGAAACAGAGGCACTTAGGATGACTTTGGAACTATCTGATGGATAATGGAGAAGACAAGACAGTGTCTTATTTTGATTAAAAAAAAAAAAGCGAAGACCTAAGGTGATCAGGTCTGTTAAAGAGGCAGGGAGTCAAATATTCTGGTAAGTGTGATGACAATCGTGTGAGATTGAGGGAGCTCCTGTATAAAAGGAACATACTGGTTGTTACCATCAAGGTCTGAGCTTCATGACACAGATATATGGAAGTGAATCATATGCCAAACGAAGGGATGTATGCAGACCTCTCAAAAAGTTTGTTAATACTCATGAAGTCAAGACTTCCCTCAATCAGCCCATAATCAGGCAGATAGTGTGCAAATGGAGAAAATGCAACAGAATTCTTACTGTTCCTAGGATAGGTCATTCCCGCCCCTCAAAAATCACCCTAAAAGCAAGACCAATACTCTGGGACATTTTAGAGAACCCCAGAGTAGAGTAGTGGCAGAGGATCTGCACTCTTGCATTGTCTGATGTTCATGATACCACCATAAGGGAAACACTGAACAAGAGTGATATGCACGGGAAGATAACAAGAAGGAAATCATATTGCCACTTATCTCAGGTTTGCCAAGTATCACTGGGTGATTCAGTAGGCTTTTGGATAGTGCACTATGGACAAATGTGATGGAAATGGAATTTTGGGGCACTAATGAAAAATGTTCTGCTTGGAGAAAACAAACCACTGCATTCCAGTAAAACAAGTTCATCCCAACTGTGAAGTATGGTGGTAGTAGTTTGTGGTTTGGGGCTGCTTTGGAGACTTAGGTCATTGCAATGATTTTTTTAAAAAAAGTGGATTCTAATTGTAGCAGCAAATTCTAAGGGACGGTGTCAGGTTATCTCTTTATGAGCTAAAGGTTAAATAAATGTGGGTCATGCAGCACAATTATCCTAAACACATAAGTAAAACCACAATACAATGGCTAAAGCCAAATAAATTTTGTGTTTTGGTATAGCTGAGTTGGGCCTTAATCTGATTGAAATGTTGTGGCCCAATCTAAGGTGAGCAATTCATGTAAGACAGTTCTATAATATCAGTGAGTTGAAGCAATTTTGTAAAGCCAGTTTGAATGTCTGGCATCTCTTTTTTCATGTAGGGCTCTAATCTGTGTTGGATGAGCCTAAGCATTATTTTGCTAGCATGGGAAGTTAAGGATATTGTATGATAGTTTGCACAGTCTGTTAAGTCTCCTTTTTTTGGTACTGGATTGTAGATTGACCTCTTCCAATCTGTTGGCCACTGTGTTGTTCTGCAGATTTGTTGGTGTAGCTTAGTTACAATCTTTACTGACACTTCTTCTGTTGCTTGCCATATTTCTGTGGGTATTCCGTCTGTTCCTGTAGCCTTCCCACTTGGTAATGACCAGAGTGCTGATTATTAAAGTCAATATTCTAGAAATCTAAATTTTAGATATTGTAAATGATCAGCATATGTTTTGTGAGAAGCTTTTAGTGTGAGAAAAGAGAAATGGATGTAGAGTCCTGATATTAAAAATTTGAAGGCTTTGATAACGTATAAAGGAAGAGTTTTAAGTATGGTGCATATAAGTTAGCAACAGTATTACTTAGGTAACATTTTAGGTACCTTCTGTAGATATAATTATTTGCTATTTTTTCCTAACCTTATCTTGCTATGTATCTAAGTAAGGAACATGTTTGGCTCAGCTTGAGAGGAAAAAGGCCCAACTAGCTGTTTTCTAAGGAAGATGTATGCCATCATACACTAAGTATTAATCAGTCCATTTATAAGAATGGTATATATAATCAGAAATTTGAATAGCTTAATATTATTGAACTGATCATATCAGAAATGCATCAGGAATAATAGTGGCATTGAGGAGAAATGGTTTATACAGAATGAAAAATCTAATTTTTTATCTTGTTCTAGGGCCATGATGAAGAAGCTGTTGTGGATACAGGCAAAATCAGCTCTACTATCAACACAAACTTTGAGAAAGAAGAATTAGAAAGTAAATACTAACATGTGTTTTCAAGTATACTACAAGGAAATGAAAAAAAAATAGGAATCCCAGTACCCTATTTGTAATATTGCATGTGGCATGATTGTTATATCATTTACAATACTGTTTGGAATTTCTGCCTCTGTAGTGGGCTCATTCCATAACATTAATAAAATTTTTGTGTTTCGAAGGTCAACCAAGAATTTCGTTTTACCAGATTGTTCTCAGAATGTATAATCTATTTGAGAAAGTAGGGGTGAACCTTCATGTAGCTGGCAGCAACAGTGATGCCAGAGCTGAGGAGTGCTCTTAGGTAGTTCTCCCATTTCAGAGTGATATGCCTGGAAATGAAAGATAGAGTTGAAAGTTCTTGGCTGGTAATCAATTTCCAAATGAGAATGTTACACAGAGGGCAAAGTATAAGTAACACTCTTGAACAAGAAACCTGAGTGAGCTTTACAACTTCCTTATCCAAAGGAATTAAAAGGATTATGAAAAGCCTGCTTGTTTGATTCTTCTCTCCTATTGGTGGGATATTTCAGTCTACACAAAAATATTGATGTCTCCAGTGGCTGTACACCGCTATTAAATATAGAATGTTTGATTGCAATGCAACACTGACACTGTTGTGCTCCATGCAACAAGCCCTGATTTTAATACTGCTTCATTAATGGAATTGCAATGGAGTGTTTAAGGAAGATGTAGGGAGCCATATGAATATTCTGTATTTTCTGCATAGTAGCAGCCAATTAAAAATAGGGTACTAATATATATTTACAGACATACTAGCTCCATGCTTGTCACTGTCCTTTTAATACTTTTTCCCTTTTTCTTTTGGCTTGTTGGTTGTGGAGAAAATTAAACAACTTGGTTAGATAATTACTTATAAAAGATTACATCATAGCTGCAGGAATCAGTGTTGTTGAAATGATTTATAGTGTGTAAAATGTGACAGAAGGAAGTTCACTACAAAGTTTAGTCAGACACTTTAAAATAGGTTTGTGGTACTGAGAGTAATTTACACAAAGGGCTCAAGGCTTCAATTGGAACTTTTTGAAATGAGCAGTGCTCAGCATTTACTTATGTTAGAAATTTGGCTCCTGAAAGAGCCTTGAGAAAAATGACTTGTGCCAGTGTTTACAACATAATTTCATAGCACATTTAATGGGGAAGAGGGAGTCCCATTAGCTTGCAATTTATTTTTTATCAGATATAATTGTTTGCATTTAATAATACTGATAATTTAAAACAATTATTTTGAAGTAACTAGTGTACCTTATTTCCCACACTCATTTGCCAGAAAAAATATACACATATTTGAATAAATTTAATAATAATGAAACTGAAACAAAAATTACTTGGGTAGAGGCTTCTTGTATGAGAGAATTCATTGCTAGCATACGAATGACTTCAATGTTATTTTTACGTTTATACATTTGCATTTGTTGTAACTGGAAATTAGTAACTCTGCTATTTTTTATTTTTTTCGTGTAAAAACCAGCTGATTTGGAATTGTCTTGTGCTACGATGTGTGATCTATATAAGTGTAGTGAACATCTTTTAAATATTTTTAGCGCTAATGACCTTAGCAACTAAATAGAGTTTGCAGATTTTGTCAAACGACCTTGGATAAAGTCATGTCTGATCAAGCCAAACAACTAGCTCTGGAACTATGTGTACTATATTTAGTATCCTACATTGTGTTAATGCTGTTATATATTGATTTAAGCTAATACTGTAACAAGCTTTGTTTGGGATCAGTATGTTATTGTGCAGGTAATCACTTGTATGCTTTATACTAGGGATAGTCAGCTTGCTGTCTTCCAGATGGTTTGGGTGGTAGCTTGACTGGCTAATCAGTCAATAGTTCTGAGAGTTTTTAGTGTGTGTAGGACTGACTGATGTAGAGGAAAGAATTCCAGCTCCCCTCTTGAGATAATGATTTATTCATTAGCAGAGAGAGTGATTCTAGAACCCAAACAATCAGGAGGAGGCCAGAGGCCAGCTGGATACATTTGTAATTAAGTATTGGAATGCATTCAGATTTCAATATTCATGCCAAAATAAGCTATATTATTCATTATGGTAGAAAAGGATATTACACATTGTTCAAACTATCAGTTATCTTGAATTGGCAGAATAGCAGTGGTAATAATGAATTTGTTACCAAAGATTATTGTGCATTCCTATTCCTTTAATAGTTTTTTTAGTATCAAATCAATTTATAGGAAATTTTTAATTACAAGACATAGTTGGCAAAACAATTCATACAAGGTTGTAGATTTGTAAAACAAAACAAAGGAAGAGGTGATGTCCCTAATTAAAAAATGTGCTGTAAAATTGGCTTCCCTATCGAGCATTTTGCCATGAATAAGCTACATGTAACAAAAAAAAAAAGCTTACTTTTGGGAGAAACAGTTTTGTTCTGGTTCCATTGAAAAACTTTGAGGGAAACTTGTTTTCTGAAACCTTTTAAAGTTTAGTGCAGCTTTCAAAACATTCTCAGTTCTTATTTCTCACCAGTAACATTGTTTAGTGTAATTAATTTACCAGAAATTTAACCTGATACTAGAGAACTTTCTATGCTAGTATCAAAATAAGCTATCAGTTAGTGTAGTGTCAGATGATGGGAGGAAGACAAATGTCCTTGAAAAAGGGGGGGAAAGAAACAACGTATCTGGAAAGATTTTAAAGCAGATAATAAATCTGTAAGTACCTTAAAAACATTTCAGTGATTACTAGATATCAGCTTGGTTTTGTCAGTAACTAATAAACCAAATCTTACCTTACATTTTGATCAGGTAAGTTCCTTAATTAGGTTGTGGTAATGCTGCAGTTGCCTTTCCTCATAAGCATCTTCTTGGGTTTTGATCTTATGGCCTTTTGAAAACTTTTCAGAAGTAAGCTTCCTACTACTAATAGGCATTCCCCGTGCATCTTCTCTCTAACATAAGATCATGAGGATGATAAGAGGGTCATCATGGCACCTCAAACCTTACTTTGGAAGTGAGCTGTTCAGGTTATGACCCAGTTAATTCATCTCCCCAGACTTTGGGCTGATCCAACAGAAGCAACGGCTTGGTACAGTTTCAGATGCTCTTTATTAACATTAGCATGGACACTTCTACTATATTGCCAGTTATAGGAGTCTCAGACTTTGCTTTCTGGGTGGGCCATAGCATTTTTGTAGTTGCCTAAATTCAGACTGTTTTAAATCAACAGGGAATTATCCACTTTATAGCTTTTTCAGTTATTTGCCTAATTATAAATTTTACATGGGTTTGGTCAGAGGTCAGAGTCATCTATTTATTTATTCAATCAGTCAATTTATATGGCCACCCATTTCAAATACATACATGACTCTGGCCAACAATGATTCAAAACAAGATAAAAGCTATTGTAACCCTGATCCTGGGGTTACAACAGTAACAGGGACTGCAGGGATTAGTGTCTCTAAGTAATGCAGTCACATGACATTGTGCTTTTTGACCACATTGCTTAGTGATGGCAATCCCAGTCCCAATTGCCATTGTATCCTGCAGACTACTTGTAACGGGACAGGTAGTTACAACTGGGGAGAGATGGTCCTGCATGTAATCCAGCCCCAAGCTATGAAAGGCTTTATAGATAACCAGCAGCACCTTGAATTGAACCTGGAAGCATACTGGGAACCAGTGCAGCTCACAGAATAGAGGTGCCACATGTCCTGAATGAAAAGTGCCCATAACTCTCTCTATATTTATATATACAGAGAGAGAGAAAGATGAGTTCACATTGAATGAGGAAGGTAGTACATTTGCTTGGATTCCCATTTGTTAGGCATGAAGGTAGATACTTGTTGTTGGAGGACTATGTCTGCTGCAGCTTCTTCAGGATTTGGGCCTGGGCCTGAAGACTGTGTCTGTGGTCTATCTGGTTATTGGAACTAATACTGGAACTAATATTACAAGGAGACATTGGTGACTTGATCAATGGTTATCAGGGTTCCCAGAGGCTCTATAGCCAGTGTGTTAATTGTTGGTCCCTTGGTGGTGACAGTGGGATTAGGAATGGGCAGTCAAGCTGTCAGACTTCACACTTAGGCTCAGCAATAAATCATGGTCTCCAGACACTTAATCCAGCTCTCAGTTAAACTTGGCAGAAGACTCCTAAACATGACTAGGCTAGTTTAGAATCTTCATTGCAGACAAAATAAATTCTCAAACAAAACAAATGATAAGGAAGTCAGAGACTTAAATTTCTATGTTCAGGGGTTAGTTTTAAACCTAGCATCTTTATCATGCCTTTCTGAATTAACAGTCACTTGGTGGCTTTGTGAAACAGTTTAAATATATTTACATAATAACTTCCTCTAGCGCCATCACCCTTACAAATACTATTCTTGTTACCTTTGCTTATTTTGGGATCTTAGCAGGTATTCAGTTAATTGGAATTTAGCCGTGGCACAAGTTACAACTGAAAGTTGCTGCTTTCAATTTATAGCATATAATATATAGTGGAAGAGAACAAACTTTGAAAGGGAAGAGATCCTGGATTTTCAGGGGAAAAAAGATGCATGTTTTATTCCTGATCATAAAAAAAATATGAAGCATTTGGATCATATCACTGCTTCATTTCTGCCTTTAAATCCTTAAGGTATAACATTAAATAATCCTAAACTAGTGGACCTGGCAAATGATTTTTGTTCCTTGCTGTTTCATTTTCTTTTCAGTAGTTCATATCTAGCAATTCGAACTTGTTTTCCAAATCTGTAGTTTGCTCTGCATTTTCCTTTTGGGGGCAATTTAATTGTTTTTACTTTCCTAATATATTGCATAATGTTTTGGATTAAGGTCATAGAGCTGTATATATTGGTGTACACGTCCCCTTTGGAAAACAGGGTCGACGGCGTCATAGGCACCGTGGTCATAAACATCATAGACGAAGAAAAGAAAAGGAAACTGACAGAGAAGATGGGCGGGAATCTCCTTCCTATGGTAAGAACTTTGTTAATACTTTTACATTTGTAATTAATCTAAAATGGGTTAATGTTTGTCTGGTGGCATACCATTTTCATGTAATTCAGTTAAAAATTGGTTTTCTGTTTTCCCGAATGTATGGTGTACAACATGGCATCTTTTCCTGGAGCAGATTGTCAGAGTTCTGATCTCATTATTGCTTCTTCAGGGGAAAGAGAGACATGAGACTAGCCCTACCTAACAAGCAGAACCCTTTTTACAGTTGGTCCTCTGTAAAAGATAAACTTTTGATTTCTACTTTTTGAGGTTTATTATTATTATTATTATTATTATTATTATTATTATTATTATTCTTTCTACCTCTTCCCCAGCCATAGTCTTCTTGACTCTTTGTAGGATGGGAAAAAGGGGTCTTGTTGCAGAAGACTCATGCCCAGGGAGTAAGGTGATCTTACCCCCAGTTGTTGCTTATGGAAATTAGACACCATTATGATCAACTTCATTTCACTGTGCTCCCAGGGCAATGGAAAGAGAGAAAGATATGGTGGTATAATGAAACACAAAAAGGTTGAGGGACCAGTGGCAATAATTGGGGACTTTCAAAATAAAACAATTGGAAGCTTCTTTAATTTTGTCTAAGCTTTCACCAAAGGATGTTTTCCTTCAGGAAAGTTATGCATTGTTTGGAGCAGACCATTTCCCTATCATATGTGATCATAGGCAGGAGTTGTACTCCTGAATCACTGCTCACTTCTATAGGGGGGTGATGGTTTGTTGGCCTTTAAGGGTGACCTGCCATTGAGGCTTCCCCTCATACTTCAGAAAGTACTACATGTTTAACAAATTTTCTTCAGCAATTGCAGCCTTTGAAAAGTGCAGCAAAGATTGGTAGTATAAGTCTGGAAAATATGTGGAAAGGAATCCTTTGTTATATTTTAGGTATCAAATGCCCTCCATGGAGTACAGAATAAATTCAGAATTTCTCTTACTATAAAATTCTGTTCCTTGAGCTCTATGAACTTTTTACTTCACAGTTTTTCTTCCATGATCAGCAATGTATTTCTTTATCTTAGGGCTTCTGCCATCATCATGCATGTCATGTGTAGTGGTAAGAAAACTTTCAGAAGTATTTACTTCCCTTATTTATGTGCCACTATTAAATTGTTCCATTGCAATCATTTGCCTACAATATCTTTAGTTTTGTTCAGCAGATGTTCTTGTGGTTACAAGTTGTTTGTTGTGTTCTGGATCTTAAGTATTGAGACTGGATTGAGAGGCCTTTACTATCTGAGTGTCATGATGGCTCCTGTTTTTACACATCTATTTGGCAGAAAGAGAATCTGGCTCCAAGTATAATACAAATGAGGGTATGCACTGGGAAAACACAAAACCTTTGTAACTGCACATCTACAATCCAAATAGGAATGCCAATGAGGGTATGCACTGGGAAAACACAAAACCTTTGTAACTGCACATCTACAATCCAAATAGGAATGCCATGTAACAAGTGAAACAAAAGTTTTTAACATTAAACTTCTAGAGTATAGCAGGAAGATATTGTTCACTGTGTTATAGCCATGGGTACTATTAGATGCAAATTGAGTTATTGTTTCTGGGCAATCCAGGAAAGGAAGGAAATAAAAAGTCTGAACATTTTCTGACAAACTCTAGCCCATTAATAATCTAATAATTTAAGGAAGCCTGCATAGAAACCCCCCCCCCACAAAAACTCTTTATTTTGCTGAAATTAATTGTCACAATTTTGCAAACTTTAACACCTAAATACACAAAATAATTGTTCTAGGCTGACTACAGACATAGACAGTAAAACAGTAGCAACTGTATGGAGCAATAGTAGTATTCTGGAGCTAGACAGTGTTGGGAAATGGAACTCAGGGCGTAAGTCATGGAAATGGGAGTCAGGATCATTCTAAGTTTAATAATGTAGAGAAGGGGGAGAACACAACCCCGTCAGACACTTTGGTAGCAGGAATGGGATTGCCTCCAAACTGCATTATACATGGATTGCATCACTCTGACATAAAAATCTTGCCTATAACTTGCCTCTTGGAGCTGAATGAACAGTAGTTTTACATCAACATCTGTGTCATAAGGACCATTATCCAAGAATGCCCTGTTTTTTTAGTTAGATTATTTATAATTAAACAATAGTCAAGTACAGATTTACATTTTATAAATCCTACCTGCTCATCTCCTTGTACTCTTTCATAGAAATAAGATTGTGATTAAGTAACTGACTTGTGGATAATGTGATTCTTATGTAATTGGTACTGTATTATGATTGCTTCAGACTATGATAGTGGCAAGGCACAGCCTTACTTATCTGAGAAAATAAGAAAGTCAGAAAGGTCCTTGTCATGAGAAATCAGTCTTTAGAAGCAATCTGGATATACTGAAATATCTTTGTTTCTATGAAATGCTTTGTTTCTATGCTACTGACTGATTTTTTGGTATATTAAAATACTAGTGTTTTTAGCTACAATTCAATATTTTGTAACCACTTTTCCTTACATATAAAAACTCCACAAATGATTACCATTTATAAATGATGTTGCTTGAGGATTGTATCTTTAAATATTATTTAAATATAGTTTCCTAAGTATGGTTCTTATCTATATATTTTTTTTAAAAATGACAACCATTTTTTAAATTTTTCATGTGTGTTGTAGTGATTTGTGTGGGGAAAATAATATCTAGTTCACACGCTAGTTAAGGCTGGTATGCTTTACTACTATTCTGTATTTTGTCAAACCTTTAATAAGTTGCATCAATCTATTATCTCAGTAGTACCACTTTCAATCTGAAATACTCACACTTTCTTCTGAATATAATCTGCTGCTGTGTTATCTGTCTTTGCTTTTTACCATGTCAAATAAAGTTGTAAAATGCTTTGATTTAATTCAATCTTGTAGATAAGCCAACTAAGTGTGGTTTATGCTAAAAAGAAAATAATCAGAATATGGAGGAAGAAGGAGATTGCTCAGTCATATGTCTCATTCACATAATATCAAATTATGATTTGCTTTAGGTGAGCCAGTCCAAGGAGTTCTTGTGCCTAAGACCTAATTTACATTCAGTTCATGAATATCAGGGTTTTATGAGTATGCAGGATACATCTTTGTCTACTTGCATTAATCATTTCTGTTCATAAGGTCAACCGCATGGGCAGACAAATCCATGAACTGAACCTGTGTATGACTTAAGCACTTTAATAACTGTATTTTGTTATATTTTGGTTTGTTTTTAATTAGTTTTTTTCATATAGTCATCTTGAATTATTATCCACAAATCTATTGAGATCTGATGAACTAAACATCTAATAGTAACTATGAATGATACTTTTATAGAAAGATAATGGTAAAATATTGATAGCCCTTTTTATTTGCTTTTTCTATTCCATTCTATCATGAAT